CACAAGAGGCGGCAGACATCCGCGCCTTCTGTTCACAGCTTATTGAAGACAAACAATAACAAAACACTCCATGCATGCATGCATGCATGCATGCATGCATGCATGCAGCAGCAGCAGCAGCAGCAGGAGCAGCAGCAGGAGCAGTAGAAGCAGCAGTAGCAGCAGCAGCAGCAGAAACAGCAGCAGGAGTAGCAGTAGCAACAGCAGCAGTATATAAATGATCAGCGGAACGAATATAAATAATATAAATATATTTTTTTTAATTAATTTATTTAATAAATTTATTTTTTTTTGTTGCGGGAGAAAAGAGAAGGAAGGCCCCCTCCTGAGCCAGGGGCTGTCACCACCTAAAACAATAAATGATAGATCCTTTACACATATAATAAAAAACAAACAACAGCAGTACACCTGCTGCTGCTGCTGCTGCTGCTGCTGCTGCAAGTGCTGCTGCTGCTGCAAGTGCTGCTGCTGCTGCAAGTGCTGCTGCTGCTACAGCTGCTGCTGCACGTGCTGCTGCTGCTGCTGCACCTGCTGATGTGGTTGGTGCTGCTGCTGCGCCTGCTGCTGACGCGGATGCACTTGCTGCTGCTGCTACTGCACGTGCTGCTGCTGCTGCTGCTGCTGTACCTGCTGCTGCTGCTGCTGCTGCTGCTGCTTCTGCTGCTGCTGAACGAAGTCTTGGACATAATAAAATTCGTCATGATAGCAAATATAATTAATTAAGATAAAGAAAAATACAAATAAATAAAAAAATAGAAGAAATATATTAATCTACGTCTCTGCACGGTGCTGGGGGCCCCCCCCCAGGGCCCCCCCTTTAGTTTTGTTGCTGCTCAGTTTATATATATCTTTAGGGGGGTGTAGGCCCCTTGGTGTTATCGATAATATATCATTTTCCGTACCTGCTGCAGCAGCAGCAGCAGCAGCAGCTGCTGCTGCTGCTGCTGCTGCTGCTGGCTTGGGGCTTGGATAGGCCCAGAGGTCCTGCACAAAGTTGGAGTGTATAGAGTGGTGTAGCGAGGTGAAATTTTCCCAGTGTGCTGCTGCTGCTGCTGCTGCTGCTGCTGCTGTTGCTGCTGTTGCTGCTGTTGGTGTTTGGGGGGGAATAACCCTAGGATTCTGCCGCAGCTGCGGTGTATCCGGAGGGGGGTGAGCAGAGAAAACAATACACAAGGCAAACTCCAGCACCACAAAGAGCAGCAGCCGCCAGCCTGCTAGCCGCTCTAGGGGGGCCTCAGGATCGGATAGAGGCAAACACACCATGAGGGAGGTGTGCAGGGTTACCTGCTGCTGCTGCTGCTGCTGCTGCTGCTGCTGCTGCTGCTGCGGGTGCTGCTGCTGCTGCTGGTGCTGCTGCTGATGGTGGTGG